TCCAATTCCCCCAATAACGAGACGACACTTAGTTTTGAGGTCAAGCAGAACTGACTGTACTGGCACATACAGCCTCTTTTATTCACAATCCACAAACATAGTGCTGCCCACAGGGTTTTGAAATACAACCAATCAATCCGTACAATACACACAGACACTCCCACACAAAATCCTCCCCTCTGCCTGTGATATGATTAATATAATTATCACAGGCAGAGAAATACAGTACTATAAAACATATCATAGGGAGCCCAAAACATGCAATAACTCCATAAAAATAACCCACGGAACCGGGGGATCTGGGTGAACCACATATCCAAAATTCACCCAGATCCGTTCAGTAGTTTGGAAGCTACAGTTTAATGCAGATTACGCAGAACATATACAGTCTATATGAAAATTAATTACTGTATAATGTGTCCCCTGATGTATAGTTTGAAATTACTGCACAATGTCTTTGTGCACCAAATACCGGCGAGATGGCACCGTGTAGAAAAGTCCAAACAGTGTCTGTGAGTTAAAATGGCCGCCATCCATTGTTCTCACCATGTGCTTCCTCCATTGTTCTCACCATGTGCCTCTGATACAGGAAATGGTGGCCACCCAGTAACTCCACAGTATGTTCCCAGATGGTTCTTAAAGGGCCAGCAGCAGCACAACACAAATCCCTTATGCCCAAATCATTAAAGGGTCTTAAAGGGCAATACATCCCAGGGGCCATAGTCACATGGCAGGAGGCTGGCAATCAGTCTTCTCCAATGCCCAGTGGCGAGGTCAGTTTCGCCACATTTCTCCCCTTTCCCAAAAAGACTAACAAGGTATCTGACCTCCTGTCGGTCAGTGGCTTGGTTAGTCCAGCAACCCACCCACAAAACATAAACAGAGTGGCCCACCCACAAGAATTGGTTATTGCACCTGGGGTAGTGGGTAGCTTGTCCATGTCCAGGGGCTCCACCACAGCTCTGGGGGGTACTAGCCTTCCGGATCGGTGGGTTGCTGAGTGGGCAGAGACCAGTGGTACTTTGCCCTGGTGCCACGCTACCACGGAAGTAGCCTGGTTGGAGCCCAGCTGAGGAGAAGGGTTAGTAGGCTCCTCCCTCTGGACCTCGTGTTGCTGCTGGAGGGGAAGACAGGCTGTCTCCTCTTTAGATAAACAGCTCTGCTGCTGGGGGACAGGACCGACCATCCCTACCCCCTGTGGTTTGCGCACAGAGACCATGGTCCCATCTGCACCGGTGTGGGGTTTATCATCTCCCCTTGGTGGGCTAGGCTGCCGCAGGGGAGGGGGAACGAGGCTTTCCCCTCCCGGTAGAATACTCTGCCACTGGGGAGCAGGACTGACTGTCCGTACTCCCCGTAAGCTTAGGCGCAGAGACCACGGTCCCATCTGCGCCAGTGGGGAGCTTAGTGTCTCCCCTTGGTGGGCTACGCTGCTGCTGGGAAGAGGGGGTAACAAGCTCCTCTCCCTTACACACTTTCAGCCTCTGGGGAGAGGGGGTAACAGGCTCCTCTCCCTGACACTCTCTGCTGGTGGAGAGGGGGACTGACTGTCTCCCCTTTCAATATATTGTCCCGCTGCTGGGAAGCAAGACCGACTATCTCTGCTCCCTGCAGGACACACTGCCACTGGGGAGGAAGGACGGCACCTTTGGCTCCCTGGACTGCTGGGAAGAGGGACCAACTGTCTCCTCTCCTAAGGACACACTCTGCCGCTGGGGAGGAAGGACGACACCTTCAGCTCCCTGTGACGCATACTGCCGCTGGGGAGGAAGGACGGCACCTTTGGTTCCCTGGGACTCACTGGACTGCTGGGGAGAGGGCCTAACTTTCTCCTCTCCTAAGGACACACTCTGCCGCTGGGGAGGAAGGATGACACCGTCGGCTCCCTGGAACTCACACTGCCGCTGGGGAGGAAGGACGACACCTTCAGCTGCCTGGGATTCACACTGCCGCTGGGGAGGAAGGACAACACCTTCAGCTCCCTGGGGCGCACACTGCCACTGGGGAGGAAGGACGACACCTTCAGCTCCCTGGAACTCACACTGTTGCTGTGGAGGAAGGACGTCACCTTCAGTTCCCTGGGACTCACACTGTCGCTGGAGATCTGGGATGGCTGCCCAGTATTAGTGATGTACCGAACGGTTCGCTGGCGAACGGTTCCTGGCGAACATAGCATGTTCGCGTTCGCCACGGCGGGCGAACATATGCGCGGTTCGACCCGCCCCCTATTCGTCATCATTGAGTAAACTTTGACCCTGTACCTCACAGTCAGCAGACACATTCCAGCCAATTAGCAGCACAGCCTCCCTAGCAGACCCTCCCACCTACTGGACAGCATCCATTTTAGATTCATTCTCAAGCTGCATGCTTAGTAAGAGGAGGGAAAGTGTAGCTGCTGTTCATAAGATAGGGAAAAGCATAGCTAGGTTAGGGATAAGGGTATGCTTTTTTTGATTTTTTTTTTTCTATGTAATGTAAATGCACTTAGTTGTCTGCCACTGCTGCCAGCTTCTGTGTCAGGCTCACAGTGCCCATTTCCCCAGTCAGTGCCACCAATTACATCTGGTGTCACAATAGCTTGGATTTAAAAACAAAAAACTTTTTTCACTGTTATAGATTGAATAGCAGTCAGTTGTCTGCCACTGCTGCCAGCTTCTGTGTCAGGCTCACAGTGCATACTGTGCCCATTTCCCCAGTCAGTGCCACCAATTACATCTGGTGTCACAATAGCTTGGATTTAAAAACAAAAAACTTTTTTCACTGTTATAGATTGAATAGCAGTCAGTTGTCTGCCACTGCTGCCAGCTTCTGTGTCAGGCTCACAGTGCATACTGTGCCCATTTCCCCAGTCAGTGCCACCAATTACATCTGGTGTCACAATAGCTTGGATTTAAAAACAAAAAACTTTTTTCACTGTTATAGATTGAATAGCAGTCAGTGTCCTTAAAGCGGTGTGTTACGCTAACAGTGGATACGCTGACAAGTGCCACTAATTAGATCTGGTGTCACAATAGCTTGGATTTAAAAACAAAAAACTTTTTACTGTTATAGATTGAATAGCAGTCAGTGTCCTTAAAGCGGGTGTGTTACGCTAACAGTGGATACGCTGACAAGTGCCACCAATTAGATCCTGTGTCACAATAGCTTGGATTTAAAAACAAAAAACTTTTTTTACTGTTATAGATTGAATAG